CCCTCGCGAGAATGTCTGCGTGTTCCATCCAATTCCTCCACCCAGTGTGCCTACTCCTGCTGAACACAACACGCCTCTTGTTTCACTGTCCCTGAAAAAACTGAGAGAAAGCTGATACAAACGATGAAGCACCTACAACGGAGTATGCATTGTGCAAAATCTGGATTCGATACATGGAACTATTGTTGTGGAAGCGTACCGGAGGGGTCATTCAGGCTGGTGAAATCATGGACACAGCAAAGCCCTAATCAGCACTGAATGCCTGACATATCACCTTGACGGTACTTCTGTTTCATTGGCACTGCATGGTACCGATTCTTGATCTGCACCGCACCAGGCATTCATCTTTGGCATGAAGCTACCTTTAACATCATCTCCGCAAAATAAAATCCACAGCTGCTCACACCCCTAAGCAACTAAGTCCAGTTCAACACCCAACGCACTTGTTCAGCCGCCCTTTGGACTCCCCCCTCCCTCAACCTCGCCATACCTCGCCTCCTCCCATCCCTCCACGAAGTTCCGGCGGATGGTGGTGTGACGCGAAGAGCCCGCAGGTCGATAGTTGGTCCACATATTTCCTCAGGTCGATCGAGATGTTCCAGGCCTGCGCCTCCCCGTGCTTCCGAGCGAACGAATCCCCGAGCATAAGACCAGGGGCAGCTCAGGTGGTGCATGTTTTTGCTCAGGTGGTGCGTCCTTTGTTTGTGTGTGTTTCGAAGCCCTGGGACATATATGATATAGTATGGGTGTGAGATCGAATCCAGAAACATCAAGAGCACCATTCAAGGTCGGAGGATCTCCTGATGTTCAACACACCCACGTCCAAGCCGTCCAACGCCGTCCAAGGGTCCATAGATCCCCGGCGGGAAGTAGCGGAAGGGGATCTGCCGGAAGAAGGGCCGGTCGCGCCACCAGTTGTAATTCATGCGATCCGGGAAGGTCTCCTCGAGGCCTGGGGCGGCCGCTGAGGTCTGGAAGGTCCAAATGGTGAAGAACGTCAACGTTTAAACCATTGAGTGGTTTCAAAAGGTCTGCTATGGTTGTACCTGGAATAAGCCTATGCGTAACACAGCCTGTATCGCAAAGTCCAATTTAAACACATAGATCAACATCAGGAAATGTCATGTCATGTTTGAATCAACATTGCACAATATGAGCCCAAGCACTTCACCCCAAGCACGCCCACCGGTGCGCCCTCGCGTTAAGACGCCTAAGACGTCCACCATGGCCGGCTTGAAGCCCGGACAGCCGCTGGTGCCCAAGCGCGCGACGTAGACCAAGGACTCCTCCACTGGCGGTCACCGAGTTAGCGGTTGGAGGGTGGGGGTGTTATTGCATGGCTGGTCTAGTGGAAGAAATGGGAGGATCATGAAGCAAATGATGTAATCTTAATATGTTAAACTTCAAAGATACCCGTGACGACATCGGAAGATGGGTGATTGGATCATGTCCGCGCATGACGTTAGGGAAGGGCATATGATATGCAAGGTGGGCAGTGCTGGGCTGAGAGATTTTCCCACTGTCCTTTAGGCGGGTGAAAGGTTACCACGTGGTCTGGTAATTTCAGGCGTGTATGTATTGGGTCGGCATTGGATGCCTCACATAGGACCATTCTCACAGCCCCCCCACAAAACAATCACCTTTACCCAAGGCAGCTTGCGTCAGCCACACTACAACAGAACCCAAACATCCATTACCAAGCCTCAAGCAAATTCAAGTAGTGCAAAGTGTGAAATGACCCAGCTCCGGGGGTTGAGGGTGGCAAGGTAAACAGTTTCTTGTACCTATGTCCAATTCGGAATAGTCTACTATAACTTATATATATATATAATGTTTTATAAAACCAAAAGCACCTCCAAATCTAAGCAGTTCATGTTCCTGGACTCTTCCTTCAGACCCTGTTGGCATAGCCCGGGCTCGATGGCGGCGGACCCAGCCGCTCCTGTAAGAAGCGACTTCGCACCACCGGTGTGATGAAGCCGCGGTCCATGGACCAGAACTCCCCATCCCCGAACCGGGCCATGGAGCCACCGGCCTGAAGGGATGTGGGGGGATCGCCGTGGTGGATGGGGGGATCTGTGGTACAGGTGGATTGAGAGGACGTAGATGGCACAAGTTACCCCAACTTAGTTGGGTGGTATTAGGACTGGATCCCCCATCTGTCTAAAAGACATCTTGAGGTGCCTGTGCCATCTATATACTCTGAAAGCACGGCACTGTATTCATAAAACTGTTCGTAGAATATGTTAGGTTGGGTTGGATGTGTATCCAAAGAATTTCATAGGACAAGGATGTCTAACAGGTCACCATTGTCTAGGGCATCATTCATGGAGGATAGTATTTTCATACATACATGGTGATTCTGTGGAGATTGAATGAGATTGGGTCTTTCTGCCAAGACTTACAAGGCTATGCTCGACTGTAGCATGCTGTAGCTGCAAATTCACTCCAACTGCTGGTATGCAAAGACTTCCTTTGAACAAGAAGAGAGTCCTCGCGTCTTAGCACCACAGGGAGACAGGGTTGCTACATGGAGCCGATCTGGGTTTGAGAGAAACACTCCCTGAAAAATCCAGTAAAAGCATCTTAGCCCCTCTAGAGACCACCGCTGGCTCCAGCGACTTGGGTTTTGTGCTGTAGCACACCCATTAGCATGGAATCCTCCTGCAAACCATGCTATCTAATCCGACTCCCTCAGCTCCAAAGTACCGCTGACCGCTGAAGCTTTCCGTAGTGGGGTAAAACCTCCCCCAAAAGCTTTAAGGTTCTCTTCAAGTGATTCACGTGGTGATTCACGTGTCACGAACGGAGTGACGACTTTTCCGTACTTCAAACAGAGTGTCCCAACAGAGTCCACCAGAGACTGGGTTCGAACCTCCGGCCTTAGAGCCGCACGGTCTCCCCGGAGTTTCACGGTCTCGAAACGGGCATGACATACACGGGTGAGGGACGTCCGTTTTTTGAGGGACGTCGAGCTTTTTTTGAGGGGGATCCAAGAATCCAAGAATCCATTTCTTGGATGTTCTTGGTCTGGACTTTTGCACGACCTCACCACACAATTACAGTTGCTGTTTGGACAGATCTGATTTTGAATAGCATAGGACACCTAGATGGGGACATGCTCCTTCTAACAAATCCGGAACTCCTGCGAAGCAGGAAGCATCCTGCCAATCTCCATTCAACCCTGCATCGTCTCAGATTGTCACTGGCTCGCCTTCAGAAATGCCAAGGTCTCCCCGGTGCCGAGCACATGCAGCCGCTCACCGCGCGAAGCGCTTTTGGCCAATCGGGGACGCCTGAAGAAACGTAATGACCATGTGACACTCCTGAAATATTTTGAACATCTGCGCATAAAAGCAACAACTACTCTTGTCTTCCTTGCCATTGTTTGTTCCCAACTTTCAGGATGCTTTAGCGAGATATAGGGGAACTCACATGTCCGCAGGTTCAGAACATCCAGAAACTCAGAAAATTTCAGAAACTTGGGGGTTCATGGCTGCTCTGATATGGGACGTGATACGCACCTGAAGCGTTCCAGCACCAGCTGCAATAGGGGCAGCCACCTCCCATGCAGGTGTTTCACGGAGCAAGGACCCGTGATCTAGTTAGTCGAATGGCTGCGAGTCTACCTGGGGAAACAAAGTCTAGAGTCTACCCTTTCTGGAATCGAAGTAGAACATGACCCCGATTTGGATGACCATTATCTGAATACCAAACAGGTGGTGCCATTCGCATCCAGTAGATTATTCCAGACAGTATAGCTCATGAAAATGACTGCAGGGTTTATCATGGTGTATCAGACTGGACTTCAGTGTGGGGCAGTCACTCGGCAACTGAGTTTGTCAACACGATGGGCATAATTGCTGTCTCCGGTGTCCAGCAAAAGAGTTGTGTGGAATGAGTGAGTCAAACACCGGGAACATGACCATGCCACTTCAGAGTTTCATCATGATGCACGCCGCAAAGAAAGCGCCTCTTTGCTGCTGGGTCTTTCCACACATTCCAGGCATGTTGCCTCGGTTTGACATCAGCAAACTGTTTCTGAAACATCGGCGTGCCTTGAAACATCCTGAGATGCCATACACGAGCATGCCTTGTCTATATTTGTTCATGTGAACATGTGAATCCCGGTGTCCCAACTCCCAACAAAGCTGGTGGGAAGCTGTATCTGCAAAAACATGTTGTTTTGTTAATACAATGTATACGCCTGTTTGTTGAGTCTCGATTAAGCATTTAATGTAGTTAATCCCAGGTTCTCTCTGCAAAAACTAAAATATTTACACTGCCAGAACTGGCATGCAAGTGCAAAGCTTAAATCTTCCTATGCCATGTTGTAGAGTTTGCCTCAGGTATGTGCTTCATCCCAGACTTGACCAGTTCACTCTAATTGTTCTCATCATTCATCTCTGGTTAGGGTCGACCATGCTCGGACCGGGTTAGTGACACCCACGGTGACGCCGCGCCACTCCATGATCTGCAACTTCATCAGCACTGGGCATCCACGTCCCACACATTGGATGCCCTGTTCCACCTCATTGGAGGCTTTCCGTGGAAGGATTCCTGGGTGCCTGATGGAGCCCCGATTCAGTCTGTTTGGGTTTGATGTCTACAACGAGTCGCACCTTAAGAACACCGCAAATCCCAGACTCCCAGACCATCTGTGTGACTGGAATATATACCTACAGGGATCTAGCCGTGCATGCAGGGGAAACCCCAAAGTTTTTCTAAACAGACTAAAAGGAGGGAAATTGGAGGAAGAATACAGTCCCCGCAGATCCCCAACACCGGCCGCCGGCAAGCAAGGCTTTTGTTTTCTCCGTAAGCTGGGGTTTGGCCAAAAGAGAGCCCTGGACCAATTCACTGGCCCTCCATGGGCTTCAACATCAGCCTGCCGCTGACAAACAACACCCCAACCGAAAGGAAGGCAAGCCAACCTCCTAAGAAGGGGAGGACCCCAAAGCGAAACGAACCCCCCGCAGCCAGCCTGCGCATCTTTGTTCTCACCATGGGTCGGCCGTCCGGAGGGCACCTTTGGCCTTAGCCTCTGCCCCCAAAATTTCGATCGCCTCCCGCTTGCTGCTCTGTGGACACAGCTCATCCACGTTCTGCAATGCTGGGAGCACCGCAAAACTGAAATCTTCAAATTGCAGGTGAACCCTGTGAGCGGGGTTAAACAATATGTAAAATCCTCATTAGTCAGCGCATCAGCTTCCACATTGTCGTCGCGACACCTCCAGTCAGTGTCAGTGCGACGCCCTTGCCGCTCGGCTGGGCAGCCAGTTCCATGAGGACGATGAACGAGGGGTAAGTGGTGGTCATGTACTTATCTGACATATGTGTTGGATTGCCCCTTTGATCCAAATCGTGCTCCGACGATTCTTCCACGGCCCGCGTGGCGCGAAGAGGCAAACTGCGCACAGAACCGCCGCCAACTCAAGCGCAGCTATGCATTTGAATGGCTCTCCCTTGCTGTAAGCCCACGGTGCATTGGCCCGGCTCAATCTGATGCTGACCCATGGGCGTGGTGCCTCCAAAGCTCTCCCATCCAAGTACGACCCAGTCGCCCTCTGCCTTGCATCTGTCGAAAGCCATCGCAGGCTGTCCGACAGTGGGATGGGACTGGGAGTTGCCATAGGAGCTCGCAGCACTTCATGCTTGAAGAAACACAATACTGCGTAAATTCCGGCGGGCAGCGCCACCAGCTTGGTCGCCTCAAGCCTTGCTAGGCCCTAGGAATGGTCTGGTATGCTTTAGGGCACCCGCAACAAAGGCCATTCGTCCCGGTGCAGATTTCATTTGCTGCCCTGTCACGCGCCTTTCTCGCATCCGGGCATCAATCCACTTGATCAGCCATGCTACTCTTGCATCACTCAAGCCCTTTGCAAAAGTTTCGACGTCCAGCTGATATAGCCGATCCACGCCAACTTGATCCCACCAACTACCTTCTTCCAGGACAAGGGCACTTCCAGTAAATCCAAAACGTAAAACGTAGAGCCAGGAAAGCTGTTTGCGCCAGAACCCTTTCGCCCCTTGCCAGCAACAAGCCATCGTCAGCAAAGAGCAGATGATACAATGCCAGCTCCAACCCGCACAGATATGCTCCAACCGCACGATGGCCCCTGCTACTCTCTGCCAGTGATAGGCTGCACTCGCAAACCCAAAAGCCCCAGCCGTGTGCATGACAAAGATGCCAGAAAGTGAGGCACGTCCGCGTCGTCGACCGCGAAAGCAATCATGGCGTCTTCAGGCTGCACGCCCCCGGATGCAGAGAGTGCACTGCGCAGCTTCCGTGGCAGCGCTGCCCAGAGCTGCGCCTCTGACGCCTCCAGCACCTCGTCCTCGCTGGACGCTTCAGTGGCGTCATCCATCCCAAAGAAAAGAGCTCAAAACAAGCCAAGCCAAAACTTTACCACGCAGGATCAAACCTGGGGACAGCACCCCCCCACGTGGCCAGGCACTGGAGAAAAAAAACATAGTTGAAAGAATTCTCAATGGGGGAGGAACTCCTGCCGTCACCTCAACCCCCCTTTTGGCACTCAAGATCCCCTAACTTGCCCGGGGGGCAATTTCCTTGGGGTGGTTGACCTGGGGGCAATGTCATTATGTAGGCATATATATAATGTTATATATACGCAGTATTTCATACCTGGATGGTCTGGGAATGAATTCACCGCAAAGGTCGTCGGTCGCATAAAAGACCACACCACATGACCGTACGCAGTACCCTCTGAGGCACTGATCGCCTACCATGCTTACCTCTACCTTTGATCATTGCTGCTGGGACTTATTCACAAACAACAAGAATTAGGATCAATCAATATGAGCTATTGAGATTGCAAGGACACGAAGTTCACTGAGAATATCTGATATTTGTGTCTTGTATCAAGTACTATCAAGTACAAGAGAAACTCTACAACTCCAATCAACCAATTACTGTAACTTCCTACAACTTGTCTGTCCAAAGAACCGCTCTCAGGCAGATTAAGAGAAACAAAACTGTAAGAATCTGTGAGAACTGCCAGAGTTTTCGGAGCATCCTATATCGGTTTCAGAGTAGGTGGCACAATCGCCAAGATGTCCTTTAGATGGGGTCTATACAAGCCACCAAACTTGGTGGAATGTGCCATCTACTCTCAAACCAATGATTTTCCATCTGTTTCTTCCTTCACGGGCGGCCGGACGCCTTCGACCTCCACCGAGCGCAAGCATCCAACAGTTCAACACCGTCCTCCACGAAGCGGCGCCTGTCTGAGCAACTCTCGATCTCGGGACTCGCAGGCCAAGCACCTGCGTCTGTGGACGATCCAAACGGGAGACGTTTCAGACGGCGCCGGCCCCTGGAAATGTCGAAGTCTCCACTTCCATGGCAGGGGAGTCGGAGTGTAGTTGACTGTCACTTCGTGTCGCGAACGCCATGGAATCTGATTAGAAAAAACGGTAGGGGTAGGCCGGGTAGGCCGGGTAGGCAATGTGTGAAGAGGTCCACTTGGAACAGGTCCCCTTCGCCACTTCAAGAAATCATGCAGCGATTCCCATGCATCCATTCGTCACCCGATGGTGATCCATCTCCAGGAATCCAACGGAATGGTGAGACCTTCTGGTGTCAGGTGTCCAGCATCCCATCCATTCGAAGCTCGGTCTCCAACGAACACAGACGGTAGTGAATGGCAGTCCCCCCCCAAGAGGCCGAGAGGCCCAGGGTGACGGACCCGAAGGTCTCCAACGACAGGACATCGCTGATGTTCAAAACCCGACGTTGTGAGGATCCAATGGACCCTTTTCCGTTCGGAAGGGAAGGGTCTGTTCCTTCACGGGAAGGGACCATGTCACGTGTGACGGAGTGGCATCCTTCCCCAGGCCCACTGGATCGATCCTTAAACATGGCACTGGGCATTGGGTCTCATCAGAAATGGCACAGGAAGGCAAACATTCTCTCCACCCCAGCAGACGGTCCATCGTCACTAGCAGCTAGTGCCTGGGTCGAAGAAACAGCGATCCCAGCCGCTGCGATGTTTTGGTCGCAGTGGATGATTGCCTTTGATTCAACCAGCAGTCACACCTATACTCCCCAGGGCTCAAACTACCTCCGTTTCGAAGGTGGTTGGGGCGGGTTTGGGGGGTCTAACCACCTTCTGAGGATATGGTTGGAGGTTTGAGGGGACTACACGGCTAATCATGGGGGTGTAACAAGGCGACCCCCCCTGGCCCTGGTTGCCACGAAGCCATCCGGAGTCCGTCACTAGGAGCCCCTACAGTGCCAGCAGAAGGCCGGGCCACTTGGAGTTCCCCGCCGGGGGTGGGTGCAAGATGGCCAAACCGCCTGGACGCCGTAGTGAGAAGAAGTGGTGGGCAGTAGTGAGAAGATGTTGATTTGTTTCTCTGGCTTTCAAAAAAAGTAATTGATTGGGGATTTGAAGTGACTGGGTCTGTGCTTGGGCTGGGAACACTCCTGAACCATGTCCGCCTCGCTTTGAAGACCCGGAAGACCCGCCGAACGGGGGGCAGAAGTAGGGTAAGGAGAAGCAAGGCGGGTCCGGAGTGAAGTCCATTCTCAAGAGTCACAGCATACCGCAAGATTCATAGAGCCTCGCTTTGTCGGCTAACTGACGACTCATCCAAAGCTGTATGATGCAGACCGGCACCCCATGAAAGCCCTCAGCACACAAGCCCAAATCAGCTGCTGACTCTTCCACAGCACAGGGGCTCCTACACTGGAATCCAAAACAACGATGCCTTCCCCACTGGTCCTACGTGGCCGCGCCGCGTCGCCGCGCCGCGTCGCGGCCCCGCGTGCACGTCTCCTGTCACGTCTGGCGGGCAGCAGGTGCCAGACCAGGAACGTAGCGCTTGGATCCAGGCAGCCTCACGGTGCACAAGCACCGTTCCGGAGGGTTGCACCCTTAGAATGGAAGCTGTGGATTTGTCCAGGAACCTGGAACTCAAGTATATAAAACATATTCAACCATAGGGGAACATTTTAAAAAAGACACCATGATGCAAAACCAGGAAGCGCAAGGCAGCCCCATCTGATGCCCCCCCCACGACATCCTCAGCTGCAATTTGGAATCCCAAAGAGCTGGCATCCTCAGCTGTATGAAGTCATCAATTAATTGGTTTTCCATGTCCTTTGCTAAGGGTTTAACACGGGTTTAACCTTCAGTGGCTAAGAACAGACATCCTGTCTAAACCCAAAAGGACTAAGGGTCTAAGAGTACGCCTGAGGACAAAGAAGACTATGAGCCCCTGTTCCAGACTGGGGGCACCACTGATTCGATATTTCACAATATACCTATAAACGTACAAGCACACACTAACATCTCCCAAACCTACAAGCTGACATGATCGAACTGGGTGGCGCATTGCTGTGTCTCTTTGGGCTACAGTCGGTTGTCTTGACATAGAAGGCTCATAGTTCAAAGAAAGAGATCCGGCATGTGCGGGCATCAGTAGACAGACCAAATTCCATATGGACTGGACATGGACTGGACATAGTGTGATTAATTACAGTACAAGACATCTTCCCTGATCCTCAAGGGAATGTCAGCCATCCTGGCCCACACACAAACCTGCTGTAGGCAGGCAGTAAAACATCCTTCAACCCGAAGAAGCTGCCGGGAAGCTGCCCTCAAACAGGTTGAAGGTTGTCCAGACTGTTAACTAACCAAAACCCCATATGAACGACATATGAACAGGTTTCTGCGGGGGGCGATATTGATCAAGAATTACAGTCATTACAGGAACATCAGGAATATTGAGTGGGCCAGTGCACAACATCTTGGGAGGACAACCCACGAAATCCGATCGAATCAACATATCTATCCCATAATAGATCTTCAGTGCTTGAAGCTACTGTCAATACTCCTCTTGGGAAATCATCTTTTCCGATCGAATCGCCATTCTGCTCAACTCGACTGCATCGTATGTGTCTCCTCAGCTGCCACTCATCTCTGTAGAATTCTTCTCAATGCCACGATTGCAACATTCGCATCACAGCCCGATGGCGTCGTTCAGCTGAGACATCCAATGCTGTCTTGCCGTCTGCTGCGACAGCATCCTTCTTAGCTCCCGCCTGGAGCAACTCCCGCACCACGTGCTTGCGATCATACTCACTGGCCCAGTGCAAGGCGGTTTTGCCATCTTCGGTTGCAAGATCCTTCTCAGCTCCTGCCTGCAGCAACTCTTTTACAACGTCCAAGTGTCCTTGCCAGCTTGCCACGATTAAAGCTGTTAAACCCTGGTGTGATGCAGCATTGACTCTGGCTCGTTTCCGCAGTAACTCCCGCACCACATCTAAGTGACAGTGGTAACTTGCCACGTGCAAAGCTACTGCACCTTTCGCACCTTCTTCGGCGACAATTTCCGTGTCAGCTCCTGCTGTCAGCAACTCTCGCACCACATCCAAGTGCCCATTCTTACTTGCCAAGTGCAAAGCTGTGAAGCCATTACATGCCACAGCATCCCTGTTAACTCCAGCGCGCAGCAACTCCTGCAAAACACCCAAGTGGCGATCTAGACTTGCTAAGTGCAAAGCTGTAAAGCCATTGTGTATTGCAGCCTCCTTCTCAGCTCCTGCCTGCAGCAACTCTCGCACCACTTCTAAATGGCCTCTCTGACTTGCCCAGTGCAATGCAGTTTTGCCACCTTCGGTTGCAACATCCTTCTCGGCTCCTGCCTTGAGCAACTCCTGCACCACGTCTACATGGCCATTCTCACTTGCCAAGTGCAAAGCTGTTGACCCGTCTTGTTCAATGGCATTCCTGGCAGCTCCTGCATCAAGTAACTCTCGCACCGCTTGCAAATGGCCATCCTGACTTGCCCAGTGCAAGGCTGTTTTGCCATCAACGGTTGCAAGGTCCTTCTCAGCTCCTGCCTGCAGCAACTCCCGCATCACTTGTACATGGCCAGCCTGGCTTGCCATGTGCAAAGCTGTTAAGCTATCTTGCCAAACGACATTCTTGTCAGCTCCTGCAGCAAGCAACTCTCGCACCACTGCCAAGTGCCCTCTCCAACTTGCCTCCTGCAAAGCTGTGTTACCATCTTCAGCTGCAAGATCCTTATCAGCTCCTGCCTCCAGTAGGAGTCGCACCACTTCCAACTGGCCGTTTTCAGCTGCAACATGGATTGGTGCTTGGTCGGCTTCTGGATCTAGCACGTTGGGGTTCTGTGGCAATTGAAGAAAGGATTCGACTTTGGCCAGCGTGCCAACCCTGCATGCTGACATGAATGCTTGAGTTGTTTCATCTTCAGCATCTTGAAAATCTAAGATCACCAGCTGCAATTCGGACATGTCCCCCAAGGGAGAATGGTCCTGCAGCTCAATGTGCTCATGGAAGAGTCTTTGTCGAAACCTGGAAGCTCCAACGAGAGCTGCCAAATGCTCTTTCAGTGCCCTCACTGGTTTGTCGCTTTGGACTAGTGGGCACAACTCCTCTGAAGGGATATCAGCAGCTACCACTCCTGAGAGGAAGCTGATTTGCAGCATGTTGGTGGTGAACATGCCAAGGCAGGCAGGTGAGTTGTGACCCTGCCCACCATTTCTGAGCCCGACGGAACACCCGGAGAAGGCACAAGCATGCAGTCCAATCATGCGCATCCAAGTCTTAAATGATGTTGAACCCTGTCCTTCTAAAAATAGTTTGCTGCAACTCCTGATTAAACAAATCCCTTGCATCCGAATATGTGTTGAACATGTTTGAACATCTGCAAAAATCTGTCACTCACCGAACCTCGCCCCCACCGTCCTCGCCGTATACAACCCCACCGTGGACCGCGACTCGGGAGACCGAGAGCGGTCGACTGCCTCTAACAAGCCGCCCTTCTGCCGCTCCACGCGTGGAGGACCGATCATCTCTCGGAGCGCCTTCGCGCGGCCGCCTACACGGGGCAACGCACGTGCCGTGTTACGGGGGGGAAAAGACCTACGCGGGCATTGCGCGGTTTGGGGCATTGGGGGTGGGTGACCTGGGGTCAAAATTGAGAGATTTTTAATGATTTGCATATATATATATATAATATATATATATATATTCCGTATATATAATACAGTAGATCTTTCCAACTGGATGCAAACATTTGTGGCCGAACTGGGCTGGTTTCTATAAATAAAACGCAAAAATGGTTGCATCGTTGGAAGATGTAGGTACCTGGACCATCCAATGGGTGTATGGACCCCTCATCTAAAAGACCTTTTGGGGTGCCATCGAGCCTCTGAAACCACGGTGTTCCGTAGGGATCCACATAACTCATACACCCTCCAGTACGGTACGAGTGGGCCCTCCGGGCGGTCGCCGCCGTTTATCGTCGAGTCAGACCCGTTTGGGCGGCTCCAGTTGTAGCTCCTCTAAAGGTTGTTGGACTGGAGCCCGAACGGGAGAAGGTACGTGGATCCATAGGGCCCATAGGGCATCTAACGAGGAAGCGTCTGGGATAGGAGACGATTCAAAAAAACTCCGATGATGACACGTGGACGCGGTTGATCTATGGGTTTCCCGTTGCTCACAGATCTGCTACTCCATTGCTCTCTCAGGTGGGTAAGAACCACTGGGAACTTGGGGAAACCCGCGGATCTTGAAGCCCCAGTGGTTCCCACCCACCTGAGTTGTCGTGAAGTGGACAACAACCAGTGGTTCCCACTTTTGACACTTGCTTTCCAAAAGTTGTTGTAAAACTCCGAGGCCTTTTGATTTGGGCATTTAGTTGTGTCACAAGGCCTCCCAAAGCTCGTCATGTGGTGTGAGTTGCTCGTCAACGGCACATCCAGGCTTTTTGGGTGTTGGGGCTGGCGAGTGCGCTGGGGCGCTGTGGAAAAGAGGTGCCATGTCTGTTTTCCATGGCTTCCAGCAAAATGACAAACCGGACAAACATGAAAAGCAACAAGCTTTACCAGTAAAGTCCACTGTTTCGTTCGTTGGTTTTCACACCAAGTCGTTTGATGCTTCTCCGAGATCACTCTGGTCAAGTTGCGAACTGGAGTGCACGGTGCGCCGCACACTGTTCAACATGTTGTCCAAAATGAAACGCCCAGAAAAGAGTCTTTCACCATATTGGAAGTGTCAATTCTGCCAAGACTCGCCCGGCGACATAGCATACGGCTTCCACCGATGCCGACCGCATCCGGCCGTCCCGGGACGTCGACATAGATTCTACATGACTGGACCGAACTGGTCTATGAGAACCCGAACTCTGCAAAGGCTTTTTTTTGGTGCAAGGTCTGTGATTTATGACTCCATGACCATGACTTCCCTCTGCAAGGTCTAGAACCATCTCAAACCCAGTTTGTTTGGAAAGTGAATATACGCACATATATTATATGTCACTACATATGTTATGGAATACTATGGCTGCTAAACAGTAGGGCCAATTAGGTTTAGCAGCTTTTTGTCAGTGTAGGGTCTAGGGTCTCTTCAACAGTGCCGTTTTCGCCCCGCAGCCCCGCCGCCCCCGTCGCCTGACGCGAAAAGCATGCGGCGGGGAATCAAGGACCTGCCCGAATTCCCCCGTCGCACACGGACCATGGGAGTGGATATTCAACAAACATTGACACTGGAGTATAACGGGAGTAACAGGTTGTTCATGGTTGTTCATCTTGCAAATAACTGTTCAACTGGGAATAGGACCTTGGGATACCCCCAAACTCACACAGGCTTGATGAACATGGAACCTCAAGGCTCAAGAGATGCCTATTCGTTGCAGGAAGTATATAAACTGCATGTATAATAACAATAACACTTGATATAGTAATAATATATACAGTAAATCCCCTTGATTGTGCATAGGCGCATCACTTCTTCATGTTATAAACAATTGGTGTTTATAGAATGCCAGGGGTAGGTATTTCCATGTACTTCCCTATATAAAGTGGGAAACGAACTAGTTTATAAAATAACCAGAATAGATCATGATAGGTCTAGATAGAAACCTACATCTAGAATCCAAAGCTTATGAAATGACAATTGTAAGTTGGGAAGGTCCGTATGATGTCACACATTGTAGACCTTATAGAATGAACTGTCTTGATGTCAAGATCTCAAAGCATTCTCAAGCTGTGCTCTCAAGATCCTGCCACATTCGGACAGAAAAGCTGGCCTAAGTCAATTCTTATACCCGTCTAGGATCCACACTTCCGTCAGCAAACAAATCAAATGCCGCAAAATGCCGCACGTGGTTCTGAAAAATTGTACCAAATGCTGACCGCTTCGTAACATCTTTGCGACGGCTAAAACATGGATGGAAGACTCGGAAGACGCAAGGAAGACACGCATCTCGCTCGCTTGCTCTCCCATCAACACAGCTACGGAGAATCTTACAGCCACCTACACCCAATTGGGTAAGATCATGTAACGTCGCATTGAATACTGTTGGTCCTTGAAACTAGCCACAGGCGCATGGGTTTTGAAAAGTTGGCAGTCGAATGTTTGATCTTTTGTAGAAATCACTTTGAAAGGAAGGGGATCGATCATCGAGAAGTCTCATCGGGGCCCAAGCGTTCGTCTCCTCTACAGTTGCCCCAGCACGTCGCAGAGTGTCATGCTACAAAGCAGCTGACAAACTATTGCCATACAGCAACTCTTTGGCCTGGTGTACCATCATTGTACATCCCCCCCCACTGGTTCCATTCCACAGTTGTCCACCTCAGATTCTCTGGAATGAGCCGTTTGATGGCTTCCAGTTGCTGTTGCGGCACTGGCGCGCGCTTGCCACGCGGCCAGCGCGAGGCCAGAAAGCGGGCGACCGCGGTCACCAGGCCTGGAACAGACATTGGGCAGCTTGGAGGGCGAAAATGCTTCGGGCCCCGATATCAAGAATACTTGGGTAGAACGAAAAATGTATTTCAAACACTTTTGGTGTGTTCCAAAGCATTTTGGCTGAAGGCCACGCTTGTGCCAGCCATTGGTCCAGCCCACGAAAGCACGACAACTCAGGCACGCACGTCACATCCTCAGATCCTCGAGTTCCTAGTCTAGGGGTGCATGTTGTTTGGATTGGAAAGGTGCCAAAAAAGACACATCTTCCAATGATGACTCTTCAGTTCTCCAAAAGCGGGGCCTCATGTGGGTGGATAAGGATGGAGACATAAACAATACATAGGCAAAAGACTTTGTCTAAGTTCAAGCGAACAGTCCGGAGTATGTCATGTCCTGCGAGACAGGACGATTGACTAGATTCGGGTGAGTAGTTATTTCATGGAACTGTCTCGTTTGGATAATTGTCCGTTGCAAGAACAACAAAACTCGCCAAGTTTGCTCGAACATGAGAATTAATGTACCTCCAGTGATCTCTACCCTGAGGGGGGGGGTTGAAGAAGGCAGGGCTCATGTATGGACAGACTATCCTCACAAACGCTTGGCATCAAGTCTGGTATGTGTTCTGACACAGCTAATTATCAAAAAGGCTGGGACATGTTCTGGAACGTGTTCTGGCGTCCTTGTTGGTTTGCGTATTCTGGCATGTACTTCTGACATGTGTTCTCGCACCAAACCGGTGCGAAGAACTCTGACATGTGCCGTGACACGAGGCCCGACTTTGGTTCTGATATGTGTTCTGCAATGTATTTCGACACTTGTTCTGCCATCAAACCTGCAACTTGTTCCAACACATGTTCTGACATAGTCTCTGACATAACTTTCTATTTCTTTCTATCTGGCAGTTATACCGACATTCTAGCTGGCCAATCTTCTGACATTATGTATGAATGTCTGGCATCCACTCTTTCTCCCTGGCATAAACGTTGCACTCCTTTCCGGCAACCTATATTTCTGGCATATCTTGTGGCATTCTTTCTGCTTGCTAGAATAGTTACAGTATATCATATATTATGACATCCTTTCCAGCATTCTATCTTTCCAGCATTCTATCTGGCATATCTTCGGCCTGAACTTGAACATCTAAAGACCCTCACCTGGCAGGTGAGGGAAAAAAAGAAACATTCCTTGACATGGGAGCCGTGCCACCCGCAGCTGCACGAAGAAGAAAGTCATCCAATTCACGACAGGGTCCCGCATGTCCAGGATTTGTCCAGGTACCTCGAATTTTAGCGAAGTGCCAGTGCCAGATATCTGCAAGAAGACCTGGGTCCAAAGAGGCGCCTGCCCTTTGTTACTAGTAGCGAGGCTGGCGTCACTTACAGGCGGCACGCCCTCCGCTGCCTATCTCCACCGCCTGCGCCCAGGCGTCCAAGGGATTGGTATTGGCCATCTGTTGCCTTGAAAACGTGAGTCGTTCACGGATCACATCGGTTTTGAGAGGTTTTTGGGTTCGATTGGGCGAGAGGAAGTTTGGTGCACCTGAGATCATGTTCGGAAGTGACTGCTCTTGTGATGGTCTTGTTGTTTTGTGTTTTGGTAGTTTATAGTTTCAATTTATTGATGGGAAAACAAAAACAAGATGAAAAAACACAACACTCACTGCATTCAATGATATTCAATGCATCTTGTGGAAACATGGCTGCTGCATCTCCGGTACATGGCTGGTGGTTAGCACACAAAAGGCATCAAAACGCCTTCTCACTCGGTACCAATCGCCCGATGAACGTCTCAAACATCCTCGACTCCGTGGGTTTCAGAAACAGGACCCGGTGACCAAGCGGCTCGGCCGATGGAAACGCCAGGAATGCCAACACACCTCGATATGGATCTTGGACCATTGGATCTTGGACCCTGAAGTCACAACCATCACGAAGGACCTGAGGGTATCCAAGGCTTCCACGCAGGTGTCTCCGGCCCGGAGCAGGTGAGCCATGTGTTCCGGCCAGGCGCAGCTCCGGACAAAGGGTCCAACCGCGCCCTCCGTCGCGTAGCGACCGCGGAATGCGACCCAGGTGGCGTGTAGAAGTCCTCCACCACGGCGGTGATGAGTCCTCGGTAGACGATCACTGGTAGTTAATGGGGAAGATGAAACTAGACTGAACGCTGATAGTCAATCGGAAGATCAAGAGATGCTTAGCAACGATGGCAGGAGACCGATCAGTTTGCCCCTACCTCCCAAGGTTGTTCGCTACATGGTGGACCAGGGTTCCAAGTTGAGCATCCTCATATATTAGCTTGCTGTTGTATAGCTGTTGCTGCTGTTGCTCTTGGCATTTTCGTG